ATAGTATGTGGTAGTTCTTATATGAGATCTAATCTATGACATTATACAACTATCGATTTTGAGATATTATTTTATTTAGTACAATTTGGTTGTATGTCTCAGGTAAATTAGTCAAGTAATTTTTAGAAACTGAGGAATATAAACCATATTTAGAAAAACATAATATATAAATATATCTTTTAACTTGACTTTGCCTGACATCTATGACATTCAGCTTAACGTGTGCACAAATAAGCACTTAAAATTTTATAAAGTTGAAGAAGTAGACACACACGAGGAATAACACACGTAGGAGCCACATAAAATGTCGCATAGGACGTGAATTATATTGTCATGTAGGACGTCAAGTAGAACACAAGTGTCAACTTGTTCAATTTTATACAAGATTATGTGTCTACTTATGAACATAACATAGATGTTAGATGAAATCAAATTAAATGACATATTTATGTATTATGCCTTTACAAAAAGTATATTTAAATTCTAAATATTTTTGCATAAAATTTAACCAAACACGACTTCAACTATAAATTTTTAAATAAAATAAACAGTATTTTTTTCATGACCAAACCACACTAAGAAAGGAAATGATTAAAAGCCCTCAAATTTGAATTTTTGGTATGAAAAAATCTCATTCAAAATTATACATTCAAAAATAAAAAAGAATTTTTTTAAAAATGTATCAGCTTGAATGTAAAGGCTTTTGAAGTAAATCAATAAATGGGGTCATGTAACTTTGCAATGATTTCTTTTACTCCTCCCCAATGTATTGGTACACGTGTGGACATTAGAATCCACAACTATTGACTTAGTAGTGGATACATTGAGAATTCCATAATTTTTGGTTGGTTTTTCTGGAAATTTTAATACTTTATGCACAATGTACAATTAAATTAAGCTTGAAAATTTTTTTGGTTGACAAAAATGTCCTTGGTCGTCCTCTCTTCACCTTTCTATATAATATATATATATATATAGATAGATTCTATATAAAAGAAATAGAAATATATATATTCTCCTTTCTATAAATTCCATAATTTTTGGTTGGTTTTTCTGGAAATTTTAATACTTTATGCACAATGTACAATTAAATTAAGCTTGAAATTTTTTTTGGTTGACAAAAATGCCCTTGGTCGTCCTCTCTTCACCTTTCTATATAATAGATTCTATATAAAAGAAATAGAAATATATATATTCTCCTTTCTATAAAGAACAAATATTGTAATTTCACATATATGCATGCAAGTTCTCAACACCAACCCAATTAAACAAAATGAAATATGTTAGTACCACCCAGGATGGAAAAAAATATGCCATTTTTTACCACTATGCCGTGAAAATCATGCAATGCTCTTACAAGTTAATAGCTGAACTACAGTGGTCTAAAGGAATTCTGCAACATCCACAATAGCCACCAAAAATGAATAAATCAAAACTTTAAACAGACTGATAAATTATAGGAAATCATATAGCTAATTAAGAATCTTAGTTATCTGACTGGAGATTCAGAATATGGGAAACCACAAGCTTAGAAATCTCGTTAATTGCAGAATCTGAATCTGCATGCCTTGAACTTAACCTGCTGTATTCACTTGCAGCAACCTTTGTCTTTTTCGACATAGCTAAAGCCTTTTCCAAATCCAATTCCAACAGTGGCCTCGGCTCCTGC